AGGAGAAGAAGAAGGAGAAGGAAGAGGAGTGGAGGAGGAGGTGGAGGAAGGAAGGAAGTTTAGTTTAGTTTAGTTTATTTGATTTGTATACCGCCCTAGGAGGTGGAGGAAGGAAGGAAGGAAGGAGGAGGAGGAGGAGGAGGAGGAGGAAGGGCAGCCAAGTTCACTACACAATTGGGATCGGACATAGCAGGAAACCACACCACCAATTTTTCAGTCACTGCAGTTTGGAGAGTTTGGTAGGGCTGTGTTTTGGCTACAGAAAAAAAGAGTCCACCATGAGGCCCAACTCTTACGGAGGGTCCCAATGCCAGCAAAACCAAAACCAAACATAATATTCTGTAAAAATGAATGATGTTACAGGTAGTCCTTGACTTAAAACCACAGCTGAGCCCAGAATTTCTTAGCGGTTGCTATGCGCGACAGTTGTTAGGTGAGTTTTTGCCCCATTTTATGACCTTTCCTGCTGCAATTGTTAAGTGAATCACTGATGTTGTTAAGATAGTAACACGGTTGTTAAGTGAATCTGGCTTCCCCATTGACTTGGCTCATCAGAAGGTTGCAAAAGGGGATCACGTGACCGTGGGACACAGCAGCCATCATAAATATGAGTCAGCTGACAAGCATCTGAATTTTGATCATGTGACATGGGGATGTTGCAATGGTTGTAAGTGTGAAAAACTGGACTAGAAGACCTCCAAGGACCCTTCCAGCTTCTGTTCTGTTCTGTTCTGTTCTGTTCTGTTCTGTTCTGTTCTGTTCTCTTCCCTTCCCTTCCCTTCCCTTCCCTTCCATTCCACTCCACTCCACTCTCCACTCTACTAATTCTATTCCCTCTTCTCTTCTACTCTACTCTCTACTCTATTCTTCTATCCTATTTCTAATTCTATTCTATTCTATTCTGTTCTGTTCTATTCTATTCTATTCTACTCCTAATTCTATTCCCTTCTCTTCTACTCTACTCTACTCTACTCTACTCTACTCTCTACTCTATTCTTCTATCCCATTTCTTCATTCTATTCTATTCCTAATTCTATCCCCTCTTCTCTTCTACTCTACTCTACTCTACACTCTATTCTTCTATCCCATTTCTACATTCTATTCTATTCTATTCTATTCTATTCTATTCTATTCTATTCTATTCCCTCTTCTCTTCTACTCTACTCTCTACTCTATTCTTCTATCCCATTTCTACATTCTGTTCTATTCTATTCCCTCTTCTCTTCTACTCTACTCTACTCTACTCATAATTCTATTCCCTCTTCTCTTCTCTTCTACTCTACTCTGAATTCTATTCCCTCTTCTCTTCTACTCTAGTCTACTCTACTCTCTACCCCATTCTTCTATCCCATTTCTACATTCTATTCTATTCTATTCTATTCTATTCTATTCTATTCTATTCTATTCTATTCCTAATTCTATTCCCTCTTCTCTTCTCGTCTACTCTATTCTACTCTACTCCTAATTCTATCCCCTCTTCTCTTCTACTCTACTGTACTCTACTGCACTGTACTCTACTCCTAATTCTATTTCCTCTTCTCTTCTCTTCTACTCTACTCTCTACTCTATTCTTCTATCCCATTTCTATATTCTATTCTATTCTATTCTATTCTATTCTATTCTATTCTATTCTATTCTATTCTATTCTACTTTAAAAACGGTCATGTGTCACTTTTTTCAGTGCCGTTGTAACTTCGAATGGCGACTAAACGAATGGTCGGGAAACTACCTTTAAGTCGAGAACTACCTGTATATATTTTCTATACTCTCTAGCGAAAAAGGCACCACGGCAAACTCAGGAAGAGGAGTAAGCATTCTCCCTCATTTTTCAAAAGTCAACCGGCAACTTCAAACTCTTTGCAATTCTGCACTGAAGTGTGTACCTCGTGTGCGTTTGTGTGTTAGCCGTATATCTTCAAAAGAACGGAAGATACGTTGTACAAAACAAAAAGGGAGGCCCATATTTCTGACTTGACAGCTACAGTTATAATCATTCAAGCGCCTATTTCCCCCCCCCTCCTCCCGAAACTCTGCTAAGCCGTAACCTTCCGTGATTAATTATAAAGTTTCAGGAGCAATAGTACACAGACTAATTTCCTAAAACAATAAAAAGACAGAATTTCTCATTTGGAACTAAATGAAACACGAACAGGTTGTTATTCATGCTGAAATCAAGATGCGCGGTCATGTTGCAGCCATTAGAGAAGCTATTAAACGCAACCTCGAATCAAAGAAACTGTAGGTCTGTCTCCTTAAAATAAAATGTTTGCCTCGGTGAATGTGGCTTACTGCTTTTTGTGTGTACGTGTTTGTGCGTGTGTGCATGTATGTTTGTGCCGATTTCAGAAGAAGTGACTTTCAAAATACAATCTTTTATTTTTGGTTTGCCTCACCATTTTATTCATTTTTTAGCCCTGAGATAGACTAATGGGTCGAATACCTTATGTCAGTGATGGCTAACTTTTTTGCCATCACATGCCAGGAGCGGGGAGGGGGAAGGGGGTTGTCGCGCGCATACGTACCCACACCGATAATTCTATGCGACCCATGCATGCGACCCCCCGCTCCTGGCATGCGATGGCATGGTGGGCCCGGTAGGCCTGTTTTTCTCTCTCCCCAGGCTCCAACGCCTTTCTAGGGACTTGGGGGGGAAGGGCCTGGAACTGGCTGACCATCTCAGCCCGCTGAGCCTCCAGGCGCTGCTACCTGGCCTTGCACTCCTGCAAGTCTTCCCTCTGCTTGCAAACTCTATGCTCCTAGTCCTCAGAGAGGTGCTTCTGCTGAGCCTCCTTCTCGGTCAGATCCAATTTGAACCGAGGCAGCTGTTTTGCCAATTCTTTCTCGTGGTGGCTGCTTAGCTCCAACAACTGCTTCCTGTTGGGGCCCTAAGGAGCCCAGGTGGGGAGGCAATGAGTGGGTGGGAGGGGAGGGGTGAGTAGAGGCTGGGAGGTGCCCCTCGATGTGAGTGACATCGAGTTGGCCACACCCACCCAGTCACATGACCACCTAGCCACGCCCACCCAGCCGGTCATTAGGCAGATCATATTAGTGATCCGCGGGTTTTAAAATTATGAATTTAGTGGTCCCTGAACTCTGAAAGGTTGGTGACCCCTGATCTAAACAATGCCCACAAATTCTTTCTCTCAACTCTATAAAGGGTGCAAAGAAGAACAATAAAGATGAGATTGGAGGCTAACATGTATGAAGAACCATTGCAGGAGCCTGGATAGCTCAACAGACTAAAAAAAGCCTGTTATTAACATTCAGCTGTCTGCAATTATTGCAAGTTCGAATCTCCCCAGGCTCAAGGTTGACTCTGCCTTCCATCCTTTCTAAGGTAGGTAAATTGAGGACCCAGTTTGTGGGGGCAATAAGCTGACTTTGTATAAATATACAAAAGTATAAAGGCTATTGCTTAATGCATTGTAAGCCACCCTGAGTCTCCGGAGAAGGGCGGCATATAAATCTAATTTAAAAAAAAAAATTGGGTATGTCTAGTTTAATGAAAAGAAGGACTAGGGGAGACATGATAGCAGTGTTCCAATATCTCAGGGGCTGCCATAAAAAGAGGGAGTCAAGCTATTCTCCAAAGCACCTGAAGGCAGGACAAGAAGCAACGGATGGAAACTAATCCAGGAGAGAAGCAACTTAGAACTAAGGAGAAACTTCCTGACAGTAAAAAGAATCAATCAATGGAACAACATCTCCAGGAGTTTTGAACATCGTTTTTAAGAAGATGTTGGATAACCATTTGTCTGAAATGGTATAGGGTTTCCTGCCTGAGCAGGGTTGGACTGGAAGACCTCCAAGGTCCCTTCCAATTCTTTTATTCTATTATTCAAGCTTGTCAAGCATATCACCCTATTACCACCCGGCCTCTGAAATCTTCCAGAAGATTGCAAGATGTAGTTGTATCCCCCAATTCTGAAGAATTTACCCATGCTGGTCTTAAGAGAGTAGCCTGGGGATGACTAATGCTTTCAAACCTCTGAATTGTCCTCCAGGCATGTAAATGAAGATTATTTTGCATAAGGTGAATACAATTTTTCAGGGGTGGGCTGCTGGGGGTTTGCAAGGGTTCAGGAGAAACTCTAGCTAAGATTCTGTGCAGTTCAGAGAACCCCCAAATCCCACTCCTGGCTGGCCCCGCCCACCCCTCCCAGGAGTCCCCACACAGCCCGTTTTGGATGTAGGTAAGTGGAGGGCGCTTGTGGAGGCTCAGGGAGGGCAAAAAACAAGCCTACCAGTAGTTCGGCAAGGCCGGAAACGGGCCTTCCAGAGGGCCTCCGGAGCCTGGGGAGGCCATTTTCGCCCTCCCGGAGCCTTGAATAAAAGCCTCCGGAGCCTGGGGAGGGCAACCACCACCACCCCGCAGGAGGCCAACTAGGCCACACCCACCATGGCCACGCCCACCCAGCAACTACGCGGAGAACCCTTTGCTAAAATTTTTGAAGCTCACTCCTGCAATTTTTTCTTTCTGACGGAGCCTTCACATTGCCATTTTCCAAAATCAAAAGGCATGATTAACATTTAAAAGAAAGAAAGAAAGAAAAAAGGGAAAACAAAACTGTTGCCAAAAAAGAAGAAAGAGAGAGAGAAAAAAAAAAAACCACCAGTGGGGCTCGGCAGGGGATCTCCTCTGCATGTAGGGCTTTTTCTGCCAATTACAGGTGATTTCTTAAAGAGGGGAAAAAAAACCCAGCATAATTCATGTTGCATTAAGACAATCGTGGAAAGTCATCTTCCACTCTGCATTCCTGTAGCTGCTTTAGGTGTGATGTGCTCTCTTGTTTCCCAATTAAAATTGGAACTGTTCTAAAGGGTGCATCTTATCCAAAATAGCAACGAAGTGAAAATAAAACCTCTTTTTGTATCTAATGCAATCTCCTTCATAAAGTCCAGTTGCCTTCTGGAAAAAAGCCCCTTTGGGAGAACCATGACCTGGGTGACTGAGAATCTCAACAGACGTGCAAACAATTCACAGTTGAGACTCGCTTTACCTGCATTCGAATTCAGTTCTTCGTTCTCCGACTCGGTCCCATTCTGACTTCCGCTTCCATGGAGGCTGTTCATGGCCATCAGCTTAATCTTCTGCAGCTTCATTGCTTCAGCCATGGCTGTCAGGCCTGTTTGTAGAGGCGGAAAGGGAAAGAGAAAGAGAGAGAGAAAAGAAAAAGAGAGGAACAGAAAGAGAGAAAGGGAATGGGAAAGAGAGAGTGTGAAAGAGAAAGAAAGAAAGAGAAAAAAGAAAAAGAGAGGAACAGAAAGAGAAAAAAGAAAAAGAGAGGAACAGAAAGAGAGAAAGAAAGAGAAAGGGAATGAGAAAGAGAGAGAATGAGAAAGAGCAAGAAAAAGAAAAAGAGATACAGAAAGAGAAAGAAAGAGAGAAAGGGAATGAGAAAGAAAGAGAGAAAGAAAGAGAAAGAGAGAAAAAAGAAAAAGAGAGGAACAGAAAGAAAGAAGAGAAAGGGAATGAGAAAGAGTGTAAAAGAGAAAGAGAGAAAGAGAGAAAAAAGAAAAAGAGAGGAACAGAAAGAGAGAAAGAGAGAGAGAAAAGGAATGAGAAAGAGAGAGAGTGAAAGAGAAAGAAAGAAAAAGAGAAAAAAAGAAAAAGAGAAGAACAGAAAGAGAAAAAGAAAAAGAGAATTAAGCTTACATTAACTAATCAGACTAGATTCCAAACATTACTAATCTTCCAGTTTTGACCAGATTTCAACATCCATAAAACTATGGATCATCCTCAATTTATGACCACAATTGGGATCAGAATTTGGAAGGGATTCAATTCATGCTTTTCTGACTTTGCTCGTCAGAAACCAGCTGGAACGGTTGTAGAAAATTCTCCAGAAAACTAGAAAGGATCTCTTCACAGATATATGTATCTGTGCATATTATTCCTGAGGAGTGGGGTGTTTTTTTTGGCCAAACAATTTTATCTAATTTAAGGGGATTGTGTGTGTGCTTTTTTCTCTAATATGTGTACTTTTAATACACATTTGGGAAAATGGTAAATATCAGCATGAGTGTGAAACCTGCTTCATTATATTTTTTTGGAACTGCAACTTGGGTTCTTCTACCTTAAAATGTGAATAAAATATGAGTCATTTCTCCTCTATTCCTAGATGAGGGAGACCATCCCACAATCTAAGCTACGTAACAGAAAACATTGCTTCCTACTTTTTATAAGAGCAAGTTATAACTTTTAAGCTTATATATTGCGTACATACACATAGCGAAAATTTGCATTTTCACAAGAACGATTCCCAAGAGTCTTCAAAAAACAGTAAAGAAAAGGGAATCTGCAGATTAATAGAGGCTATCCATTATTAATTAATCAGAACAATTAGTGGAAATTAAAACTAATATCAGTTAGCTGCATTAATAAGATTATTCCAAACAAATGTATGGAGCAAATAACTTTAATGGATGGATTATTAATGATATTAATGATTGAACAGATGGATATTAAAGACATGGCAGATGCTACCTAGAACTGATGGAATTTGTTTAAAACAAGTCTTTGAACAAGTGGTAAATTATATATTTCGCCCATTGGAAGATAAGCCAAATTGATGCTTTCCCATAGACAGCTATTTTTTAAAATTGCCACTATGAAGACCTTGCCTTGCAGTTTCTATCTCCATTAGATGCCAAAGTTGTTCCAGCACCAGAAGATTGGAAGAAGAAGACTGAGTTCAGTTCAGTGGTGGGTTTCAAATTTTTTAACTACCGGCTCTGTGGGTGTGGCTTGGTGGGCGTGGCATGGTTTGGTGGGTGTGACAGGGGAAGGTTACTGCAAAATCCCCATTTCCTCCCCATCAGTTGGGACTTGGGAGGCAGAGAATAGATGGGGGCGGGGCCAGTCAGAGGTGGTATTTACCAGTTCTCCGAACTACTCAAAACGTCCGCTACCGGTTCTCCAGAACTGGTCAGAACCTGCTGAAACCCGCCTCCGGTGGCAATGAATCCCCTTCCTCAATCTATGTAACTGCACAAAGAACCCAGTGTGCTTATTCGTGAAGGCACATATGAAGAGCAAAGGATTAAACACATCTGCCCACAGAGCAGATGCAAAAAAAAAAAAAAAAAACTTCTCGTCCATCCAAGAACACAGTAAAAAAAAAAGTCTATTAGTGTAGGCTAATTCTGCTGACTGCCAGCAGTTCAATCCTGACCAGCTCAAGGTTGACTCAGTCTTCCATCCTTCCGAGTAAAATGAGGACCCAGATTGTTGGGGGACATAGGCTGAGTCTGTAAACTGCTTAGAGAGGGCTGTAAAAGCACTGTGAAGCTGTCTAAATGCTATTGATATTGGCCAGAGTGCAAAGATGGCAGCCAAACACAATGACTATCAGAAAGTGACTCCAGAGGAGGCTTTGATAGGATCAGCACTTCTTCTGCACTCCAGGACAACATCAATACCAAACAACACCCTTGCAATAAAGTTATTTCCTTCCCCGGGTCTGTAATTGGTTAGACACAGTTCCCATCGCTCTGCATTAAATCGGAAGCATTTCGGTCCAAACTGCAAATGAGTAAATTAACGAAAGAGGAGCTATGAGTAATCAAATCTGGAAGTATGCATTTAATTAAAATCGAACGCCAAGACACAGCATTGTCGTACAGTTCCTCATATTAAAACAAAGCATTATATTAAATTAACAGACAACAATTTGCAACGAGCCGCTTTTGAAGCCAAGAAGGAATGGGGGAGCTGACAACAGTACAACCAGTTTGGCTCAGTTATTCTTTCAGTTGTGCCCATTGCTGTGTGAGCCTCAGTTGTGTGCACTGATGGCATCTGAACCAGGGCTGGGTTCTAAATTTTTTTACTACTGGTTCTGTGGGCGTGGTTTATTTTATGGGTGTGGCTTGATGGTCATGTGACAATTCTTTAGGATTTAGCAGAGGTGCTGGTCTACCAGGCTTTTAACTGCTTGCAGAGCTGTACCAGTCTACCCATTTGTTTTTGGAGGCACTGGTCTACTCATTTGTTTTTGGAGGCACCGGTCTACCACCACACTGCTTTTTAACACTGATCAGCTGTAGGACGGCCCATTGAAGCCCCGCGGCAATAGATTAAACAGTTCGTTTTCCTTCTAGCTGATCAGCCGGGGCTAGGGAGGCAGCGAATAGATTGGGGGCAGGGCCAAATAAAAGGTAAGAATAACGTGATGGCGGGCAGCTCCCGAACAAAGAGAACCAGTTCAGTGACGTCATATTATCACCGCTACCAGCTCGGCGGAACCGGGAAGAACCCACCACTGATCTGAACTCGCTGGAGGCAGGCTCAAATCCATTCGATGTTTAATCAAATGTTTAATCCATTGTCTGTTTCAAATGGAAGGACAGTGAAACATCTGGCAACATAAAACGCTAATATATGACACCGTTGAGAACAAGAGTGGGAAAAGATAGTTCTAAAACACACACACACCGATTTTGACAGAGTTGACTACAAGTTCTGGTGAGAGTTTGCAAGGGAACTTCAGTGAAGCTGTTAGTTCACATGCCGACTGCTCACCTTGTAAATCATAAACAGAATAACAGAATTACAGAGTTGGAAGTCTTCTTGTCCAACCCCCTGCTCAAGCCATTATACCATTACAATGGTATTTCTGTGGTATTAGGAAATAAAAACAAAATGCACAGGTACCATATATGTGATACCTTGGTCAATAGTAGTAACTGTGAGAGGGATCTTGGACTCCTAGTGGACAACCATTTAGATATGAGCCAGCCGTGTGCAGCAGCTGCTAAAAAAGCCAACACAGTTCTAGGCTGCATAAACAGAGGGATAGAATCAAGATTACGTGAAGTGTTAATACCACTTTATAATGCCTTGGTAAGGCCACACTTGGAATATTGCGTTCAGTTTTGGTCGCCACGATGTAAAAAAGTTGTGGAGACTCTGGAAAGAGTGCAGAGAAGAGCAACAAAGATGATTAGGGGACTGGAGGCTAAAACATATGAAGAACTGTTGCAGGAACTGGGTATGTCTAGTTTAATGAAGAGAAGGACTAGGGGAGACATGATAGCAGTGTTCCAATATCTCAGGGGTTGCCACAAAGAAGAGGGAGTCAAACTATTCTTCAAAGCACCTGAGGGTAGAACAAGAAGCAATGGGTGGAAACTAATCAAGGAGAGAAGCAATTTAGAACTAAGGAGAAATTTCCTGACAATGAGAACAATTAATAAGTGGAACAACTTGCCTCCAGAAGTTGTGAATGCCCCAACACTGGAAAAATTTAAGAAGATGTTGGATAACCATTTGTCTGAAGTGATGTAGGGTTTCCTGCCTGGGCAGGGGGTTGGACTAGAAGACCTCCAAGATCCCTTCCAACTCTTTTATTCTCTTCTCTTCTCTTCTATCATTCCAGAGAAATGGTTGTGCAATCTCTTTTTAAAAAACACTCCCAGTGTTGGGAGCACCCACAACTTCTGGAGACAAGTTGTCCCACTGATTAATTGTTCTAACTGTCAGGAAATTTCTCCTTATTTCTAGGTTGGTTCTCTCCTGGATTAGTTTCCATCCATTGCTTCTTGTATGGTGAAACTACTTTTTTCTTCCTTTTTCGCTTCCATCTGCACTTTTTTTATATTTTTCCTTTCTCAATTTTGGTTTCTCTTTGTGTTTTATCTGCTAATAAACTGTAATAAAATACTAAAAATCGAGAGTGAGAGAACGAGGCAATGAGTTTTCTATAACAATTCAGTCTGCAAGCAAATCCACCTGTTATTTAAGGTTTCCTTTAAATCAGACCTGAGTATTTTATGGCTCCTGGACTACATACAGCCCTTTGGCTGTCCCTGTCCAGCCAGAATGAGGTCAATCTGAAATTAGACATCAAATGTAAATAAATGTATACCACGTATACAATCCAACTGCCTTACTTTTATTTTGAAAGCGGCTGATTTTTTCCCCCCAGTGCAGGAATGCCTACACAACTTCACAGCCCTATTGGTTTGGACCAGTGGTAAAATATAATATTTGTTACTACCGGTTCTGTGGGCGTGGCTTAGTGGGGGGGGTGTAATGTGACTGGGTGGGCGTGGCCAACTTCAGCTGAAGAAGTTGTTTAAAAAATGCTTTTAAAAGCCTCTGACGATCCCAGCTGAGTTGCCT